TGAAATCTATGAAAAATATGAAAATATATGAAATCTATGAAAATATACGAAATCTATGAAATATATGAAATCTATGAAAATATATGATATATGAGATCTATGAAAAATATGAAATCTATGAAAAATATGAAATCTATGAAAATACATAAAATCTATGAAAATATGAAATTTATGAAATACATGAAATCTATGAAAAATATGAAATCTATGAAAATACATGAAATCTATGAAAAATATGAAAATATATGAAATCTATGAAATCTGAAAAATATGAAATCTATGAAAATACATGAAATCTATGAAAAATATGAAATCTATGAAAATACATGAAATCTATGAAAATATATGAAATCTATGAAAAATATGAAAATACATGAAATCTATGAAAATATATGAATTCTATGAAATCTATGAAAATACATAAAATCTATGAAAATATATGAAATCTATGAAAATATATGAAATCTATGAAAAACATGAAATCGGAAAATATATGAAATCTAAGATCTATGAAAAATATGAAATATATGAAAATATATGAAAAAAATTAGTTCAAAAACAAGTACATAATTATATTATTTTAAATCTACAGGAAAGAAACCAATAAATAGGAAATACAAATTATAGCCTTTTAGCCACCTGCAGAAAAGTACCTAGAAATTCAGAGCCTTTAAAAATGACTAAGACCACCCACAGGCAGTGTCACAGAGCCCTTTATCAATGGCTGCTCAACTGGAAGGGATTACAACTGGTCTGTAGTTTGCTTCTGGCGTAGAATGCATTTAGTTACTCTGCCACTGTTCCAGCTCGTGCATTTTCTGGCAGTATTTCACTGTTCTTCTTAACATTATACTATATATCAGTCATGAACAATCAGCCAAACAGGAAGATTCTAGGCAATATTCAAAGGATTATTCACTTTTGACAGAAATATAAGGTAAAGACCTAACAGAAGCAGAAGAGATTAAGAAATGGTGGCAAGAATACACAGAGTAACTGTACAAAAAACGGCTTAATGACCTGGGTAACCACGATGGCGTGGTCACTCACCTAGAGCCAGACATCCTGGAGGTGAAGTCAAGTGGGTCTGAGGAAGCATTACTACGCACAAAGCTAGTGGAGGTGATGGAATTCCAGCTGAGCTATTTAAAATCCTAAAAGATGAAGTGCTGCATTCTCAATATGTCAGCAAATTTAGAAAGCTCAGCAGTGGCCACAGGACTGGAAAATGTCAGTTTTCATTCCAATTCCAAAAGAAGAGCAGCGCCAAAGAATGTTCAAACTATTGTACAACTGTGCTCATTTCACATGCTAGCAAGGTGTAATGCTCAAAATCCTTCAAGCCAGGCTTCAACAGTACATGAACCAAGAACTTTCAGATGTACAAGTTGGATTTACAAAGGCAGAGAAACCAGAGATCAAATTGCCAATCAAGCTAGACAGCCTATTAAAAAGTGGAGACATCACTTTGACGACAAAGGTCTGTACAGCCAAAGCTGTGGTTTTTCCAGCAGCAGTCGTACAGATGTGAGAGTCAGCCCATAAAGAAGCCTGAGTGCTGCAGAACTGATGCTTTCGAACTGTGGTCCTGGAGAAGACTCTTGAGAGTCGCTTGGACTGCAAGATCCAACCAGTCAATCCTAAAGGAGATCAGTCCTGAATATTCATTGGAAGGACTGATCCTGAAGCTCCAATACTGTGGCCACCTGATGCCAAGAGCCGACTCACTGGGAAAGACCCTGATGCTGGGAAAGGACTGAAGGCAGAAGGAGATGGTGATGACAAGGATGAGAATGGTTATTAGGTTGGTGCAAAAGTAACTGCAATTTTGCACTGCTGAACCTTACCATTTGGTACTGGAATACATTCTTAAATGTGGTTATGTTATATATCATTTTAATGCACATTTCTCACGTTATGGTTTTTGCTAATGACTTATTACTTGTTGTTTTAAACTAGGGAAATGATGTTAGACAAAAAGCAAATTCGAGTGATTTTCTTATTCAAGTTCAAAATGGGTCATAAAGCAATGAAGACAACTCGCAGCATCAACAACACCTTTGACCCAGGAACTGCGAACAAACGTACCGTGCAGTGGTGGTTCCAGAAGTTTTACAGAGAGGTCAAAGCTGATCCTCTTAAAACTGCACGAGAAGTTGCTGAAAAACTCAACATTAACCATTTTATAAAGGGGAAATAGCTCAAGGAGTGGGTGCCTCATGAGCTGACCAAAAAAAAAAAAAGCATTCTGAAGTATTATCTTCTCTTCTTCTACATAACAACGAACCACTGCTCAACTGTATTGAGAGTGTAAAGAAAAGTGGATTTTATAGGACAAGTGGTGACAACCAGCTCAGTGGTTAAGACTGACAGGATGCTCCAAAGCACTTTGCGAAGTCAAACTTGCACCAAAAAATGTATTTGGTGGTCTGCTGCCTGTCTGACCCACTACAGCTTTCTGAATCCCACTGAAACCATTACATCTGAGAAGTATGCTCAGCAAATCGAAGAGGTACACCTAAAATGGCAATACCTGCAGCCAGCAACAGTCAACAGAAAGGGCCCACTTCTTCTGCACAACAACACCTGACTACACATTGCACAACCAACGCTTCAGAAGTTAAATGGATTGGACTACGAAGCTTTGCTTCATCCGCCATATTCACCTAACCTCTCGCAGACCTACCACCACTTCTTCAAGCGTCTCAACAACTTTTTGCAGGGAAAAGGCTTCCATAACCAGCAGGAGGCAGAAAATGCTTTCCAAGAGTTCATCGAATACCAAAGCAAGGATTTTTACACTTTAGGAATAAATAAACTTATTTCTCATTGCCAAAAATGTATTGATTGTAATGGTTCCTATTTTGATTAATAATGTGTCTAAGCCTAGTTATGATTTAAAATTTACAGTCCAAAACCACAATCATGTTTGCACCAGCCTAACAGAAAGCATCACTGACTCAGTGGACATGAATCTGAGCAAACTCTGGGAGATAGTGGAGAATAGAGGAGCCTGGTGTGCTGCAGTCTATGGAGTCATAAAGAGTTGGACATGACTTAAAAGCTGAACAACAAATTCATTATAGACTTATTCTTAACAACTGATGTAAGGTAATTAGCAGCCCAAAGCTGTAAAATATCCAAGCCACTTGACTATGTGAAATGCGTGCTTATGTGAAGTTCTAGCTGTGGGATTATGTAATGGTGTGCCAACAGAGCAGTTTCTGGATAGGTCTAGCAGCTTACTGAGTGGCTACATGCGAAAGGGGACAAGGGAATGGGAAGCAAGCATTGTGACGTGGGACAGTCACCCAGTGTGGGGATGGTTCCCAATCAGGCACACCCGAGTCTCTAGACACACTCACACAATGAGTGGACATGTTCACATTCCTTTACGAAGCACAGTGTACATACGTACAAGCACAAAGAGCCTGAAATTATTTTGGGATCCAAAAACAGTACGTGGCTAATAATTAAGGCCCCACACCTAACAGGGAAAAAGGATGCCACCAGCCCCAAGACTCATGGCCAGAGCAGGACAGTGTTCCTGTCAGACGCAGGCTGGAATACACTCGGACCACACACGGCCACTTGCCAGTGTCTTCATGCCCCCGTCAGGCTGCTGATGGGGCAGCTGCTCGGGGAAGGGCCAGGGCTGAGCGTGGAAGCAGAGCCTTTTTCTGACGGCACAGAAGGACAAAACTGCTTTCAGTGATATTCTGACATATCCAAAACAGTATCTTCCAACATCAATGTTTTTTTAAAGAACTAATGACAGTTTCTGTTTTGGGGTTTTTTTCTTTTGGAGTAAGTTTTAAAAATCCAGATGTATGACTACATATGTATCAGTTCTACTCTGACAGGATCTTTGGGAGTGAAGGCCATGAATCTGCATTTTTAATAAGCTCTCTTGGTAATTCTCAGGATTTGGCACCAGGATTCTTAAAATAACTGTGCTAAGGATAAGTTTCTCATTCCTCTGCCTCACCTACTTTCCCCTTTTTAGTGAAGACCATAGAAACATTCTATCAAGAGAACGTAATGATCAATAGAATATACGTGCATATTTAATATCTGTACAAGCATTTCAGCTATGGTCATACCAATTTAATATATTATTTGATTTATAGCATGTGTTATCTTTGTGTGTGTGAACTCACTCACTCAGTTGTGTCCAACTCTGCGATCCTCTGTCCATGGATTTTTCCAGGCAAGAAATACTGGAGCGGGTTGCCATTTCCTACTCTAGGGAATCTTTCTGACCCAGGGATTGAACCCGTGTCTCTTGCATTTCCTGCATAGCAGGTGGACTCGTTGCCACTGCGCCACCTGGGAAGCCCCTGTGTTGTCTTTACCAGTTCTATGTATTTAGCATAATTTGTGCCAAATAACTATACAAATTAGCTTATTAAAATGTATTGGGGAAAACTCTATTACCTTGGGAGAATACCAACACCCACAGGGGTAACTCAATAAGATATTCATACAATTTTATATAGATAATGCAGTAATTATGATAAGTCATAAATGATAAACTTTAAAGGCTTAGAAAGCTAAATAATTACACAATGCAATTAGATTCCTTTGTGGGAAACCAACAAAATATCAAGATTCAACATGTGTAACAGTCTGCAACTGACACATCTAAGTCAGAAAAAGCTTTTCCTATTTTTTCTGAAGCTAGAGTAAGACTATCACTATACTAGAGTAAAACTATCCTTTTTACTTGCATTATAGCTTATACTGAAGAAATGTTTAATGAGCAGGATATAAAAAAACACAGCATTCACAAAGCAACATCTTTGTAAAGCATTTTTTCTTGTTATGTTTCTGGAAACTACAGAAGTAAAGCCTAAAGTTTACAAATTTATGATCCAGGCTCTAACTGACCTATGTAATAAACAATGACCCTCATATGCAATGAAATATGACAGACCTCATCATCCAATATAAAAGCTGTATACTGAATGCTACTGAAGAAAAGTAAGGCCATTTACTTGTTAGTTTTCCCAGTCTGTGCAAGGCAAAGCCTCCTCTTCATCCTCTGATTCAGGGGATGCTTCTTTGATTCTTCTAAGAGCTTCATGGATGCTCCGTGTTAGAGGGTCTGTGTCAGGCAGAAGCGTGAAGGATTCTCTCAAGACTTCCTTCTGTACCTTCTTCAATTTTACCCCCTTTCTTATTTGTGCCAGGATGTTATTACTATCATCTTCATCAGGAAAAGGAGGCAGAGTTCGCTGTTCAACCTTTTTCAGATGGAAACTACCACGCTTCAAGGAAGCTAGCACCTCATCCATGGGTGAGCTCACTTTAGAAAATGGAAGAGAACAAAGTTAGTTAGGACTGTGCTTAAGAAGAGTGGGGAACTGTATAACTTTTAAGACTTCAGGACTGTGACAGCCCAGGAAACTGAAAGCACATCAATAGAAGGGACCATTAAGCATGGACAGAACTTTGTCAGAACACAAGGGATACTAATTATGTTTGTTTAAAAAAAAAAAAGTTCCAAGGCTCAAATTCCATGTCTAGCATTACTAGTATTTCTATTGTTTCCTGTGTGAGAGGAGAGAGCAAACTGAGAGCTGTGAGCGGGGATGATCTCTAGTAATATTACGGCTGAGACTCCTAAAGGGTTTCCATAATACAAAAATCCAATCTAAATTCAGACAGTGACTGGACTGCACATTTAATTAAAGAAACTTAAATTCTGGCTCATTATGGTGATTATTTTGTTTTTTTAAATAACTTTCACATATGATATTCTACTTGGGTTATGGTAAGAAATATCCTACAGGATGGTCTCTTAGATTAAAATTTAATACACAGATAAAATAGTCTCTCCATGAAAGTTAAAGCTCTTTAAGAAAGCTCTTAAACAGCAAAATTATTCACTGTTTCAAAAACAGCTTTATGAAGGCATATCTGAAATGCCCTTTTCTTCTTTGTTTCTTTATACAACATGTCAGAGTCCTCAATAAATATGTAGCCAAATGTTACATGGATCTGCCAATGTTACACTGACCAGACAGCTTAAAATCAGATTCTAACATAAAAGGAGCAACCTAAAATATGTTACCAAAGAGATCAAGTCAAAAAATAAAATTTTAAAAACATGCCTAAGAGCTCAAGCAGGCCCACATTTATTTGTGTCTGCACCCATCTGCAAACATGGGTTGGTAAGAATTCTGCCAAGGTGAGACCTTGAGAACCTGTTTGCTATCAAATAATGTTAAAAAATATAATGTTTAAAGCTTTGTAATCTCTGAGGAAAAAAATGGTCTTTAACTATATGCCTCAGTCAACAGATGAACTCAGTGTCTTTAACTCACCTCTCCTCCTCTGCAAGCCTTCAGCCGTCTTTCGGAGCTTCTTCCTGGCACTGACGAGCTGGCTGCTGTCGAAGAGCTGCGCTGAGGGGGCGCTGGCTGACTTTGGGATCCTCTTCTCGCTCCCCTCCATCTGGGGCGGGCCTTTCTCCAGCGCCTCCGGGGCGCCGTCCAGACCGACGGGCAAAGGCGGCGGGGGCGGAGGCAGCGGCGGGGGCGGCGGCGGAGGCGTGGGAGGCAGAGCGGGTGGGAGCGGCCCCGCGGGGACCGAGCCTGCTCTGCAGTCCACAGGGCTCAACAGTGCAGGAGACACAGGGGGAGGCAGCTCGGCGGCAACGCCGCTGGGGAGTGATGAGGTGGCTTCAAGTTGTGCTGACGGAGGGCCGTCGGGTGGGGTGAGGCTCCGGGCGTCCGCTGCCTGTGATGACCGGAGCGCGGCCCTTCCTCCGTCCAGGCCCTCCCTCTTCTCTTCCACCTGCAGCGCTGCTGGCGGGCCGTCACACTGGTCTTCACAGGACAGGGGACCCGCTGCACTTCTTCTTCTTGCCTGAGCCAGTCGCAATCGGGTTGATTTAAGTATGACCTGGCCTGGGTATCTCTAAGAAATCAGAAGTTAGTATAACTAGTTAGATTAGAATTTATGAACAAATGACTTTATTTTCTCCGTCTAATGCAAGGTGTTATTTTAGAGCTTTTGTGATTTTTCAGGGAAAAATATACAGAAAAACAAACATCACAATGTGATACCTTACAAAAAATTATCACCAAACTCTTATTTGCTTATCAAACCCTTATAAAAAGTAATACAAGTACTACTTTAAGTGGAAAAATATTAGCAGTGTAAAATTCAAAACAAATGATGTCAAACATATATATGCTATTTTATTGCTAAAAAACTATTTTTAATTTCTTACATGTATTTTCCAAATGCTCAGACAAAAATTAAAACATTAATGTTTTTAAATGGTTAAGTGGTATTTTTTTTAAAGCTCTGAAAACAATATATGCATTTTCTGATAAGATTCTGTAAAGCAATTATTCTTCAATAAAAAAAAAATTAAAAAAATGACAAGAGAATCAACCTACCGGAAAAAAAAAAAAAAAAAGAAAATGATAAAATTTGTTAGGAGTACTAATACACAGAGCTGCAATCTTTTTACTAGGGTACAACACACCCATAATGCATTTGGTAAACAACATTTTCTTAATGCAAGGCTTTATTCCTCTGTTAAGGAGCCCATTCCCACCTTACTCTTTCATTTGCTCAAAAGCCTCCTCCTCCTGCAAGGAGATCCTTCAGAATAAAGAGGAGAAGTAAGGCTCTTGGGTACCTGCTAAGAACTAAAACTACTGAGTTTAAGCACATTCCTAGGAAATGCTTAGCTGCTGTAGTGTCAGTGTCTGGAGTCATGGATTAGCTTGGCAAGAGACCTGCTAAGGCATTCTCATGTATACTGATCATCTTCTAATTCTCCCACTGGTCAGATTACTACCACAGTCTGATGTGCACAGAATTAATAACAAGTTGATGCTTGAAATGGATGGTTAGTTACTAGCTAACTTTTATTAAACTCAAGAGGAACCCAGACTTCCCAAACGCCCGACTATTCCTCTTATACCACAGAAATGGTAAGCCAAGACTGCTGTGATTGTAATTGTTTTCTAAATAACAAAAGGAAAATCAGATTTTTCTCATCAAAGAGATGTTACAGTAGGAATATGTATGTAGCTCGGTTTAAAAAGCACTGAATAATAATAAATTAACCACACTTTTACTACCTGTTTAAAATTTCGAAGTCTATCCAGTGTTTTCTGTCTTTCTTGGCTAACCCAGGCGCTTTTTCTTTCTTCTTCATCATGTAATTTATCTCTTTTCTGGTTAAAAAAAAATTAACAGTAATTCCATTATGATGTGTCCCACTGTATTTTATCATTAATAGAAAAAAAGGAGAGTTCTCTCCATATATATGCTATATTACTCCAAAGAATGATATGTTAAGCAATGTTTTGTGGCATGAAACAGTTAGCTTTAATAGAAATGAAATTATTTCACTTTCTGCATGTAATACCAATTAAAAGATGTTTACTCTGCGAAGTAAAATAATATTTTCTCTGAACTGAAAAATATTTCATATTTGTGGTTCTAGCTTTAGCTGCTCTATTCTAACTCAAATATTAATAGTTGACCTTAAAAATAAAAAATAACCAGTTAGTAATTTAGATATTATATATAGGTTAAGCCTGGTGTTCTGCAGATAATGTCTACTATTACTGAACCTGTACCTCCTGCTACAAATCTGTGTCTTAATATCTCATTCATTTTTTTTCCTTCCCATTCCCTACTCCCAAACTGGGAATACACTATCATCCACCTAACGTTGGTCAAGTGAAACATGAATTCCTCTTCCTAGAGAAAGAAAGTGGAACTCTTGGCAGGAGGTGCTGCCTCACCACTGAAGGTCAGGGGACAGACCCGTGGTTCTGTGGACGGGATGCGCTGCAGAGTGCTGCTATGGCAACCACCTCCCCAGAGGGGTGCACTCTCACACACAGCAGAGACCAGTTTCTCTTTAATCAGCCTCTGGACTCATGATCAGGGTGGGGCAAGGGTGAGTAAAGATGAACATTCTTCCATCTCTTCTTGTGGCAGGTCAAGAAGACCCTTTCTCTTTAGAGGGCTCTCACTGCTGGAGTTTGCAAAAGCCATTTACTGGTAGGTTAAGTCAGGCAGTCCAGATTGCCATATATAATGCTTAAGGTTTCCAGATAGGAAAATTTGAAAAGATATGACTTGAGTTCATTAAAAGAAAGAAAGATCCCATGCAGATTCTCTCCTTTAGAGGAAAGCCCAGAATGGCTCACGGACACAGTGAGGCAAGAACTTATTCCAACTCCTCACCCCTACTCTGTATTCAGTTCCATTTACAAAGCTGAGCCAGCAGAAGGAAGGAATGAAGAACTCTCACATGCACATGTGGTGACCACCTGGAATGGGAATGGGCATGTCCCTTCCCACACTGGGATACAAGCCACAGAATGCTTGGGGACAAAGGGTCTTCCAAGGCCTTGTCTCAGAGATGAATAGAGTTTTCTATACTTAGAGGGTGCAATCTAATGAATACAGGGCTTAGTACTTGAGGAAAAAATTAAGTTATCTAAAACATACTCAGCGTTTCAAACTGTGAATCTGCATCTCTAAACATAAACAAATAGTTGGAGTTTCAGAAATAGTTGAAATTCAGAAATAAAACTGGTCAATCATATTGCTGGTCTGTTAGCAGATATATCCAGAGTCAGATCTTACTATTATCTAAAAGACCCCAAATGGAAAGTGTCAGACATGTTCAGGTATGAACTATTGGGTTTATATGGACTTTTCACAGAGCACAGTATTACTGCAACTGAAACCAACAGGCCTGGGTTGAATATCACCCCTATTTCCACCCCTTGCTAGCTACTAGCAAGTCATTTAATGAAGATAACCTACCCTTTGGGTGGGGAGTGGTGTATATTAATCACTCAGTCGACCCTTTTGGGGGTGGGTAGAGGATACTTCTTAGATGGTGACACAAGGAGCTCTGAGTTTCTGTTAACACTTTGTCAACCTGGGTGCTGGTTGCATGCGTATGTTCATCTCATGCGAGTTAAAACTTATGAGCTATATACACTTGTGTGTGTGTGTATGCATCTGTAGATTGATAAAGGTGGTTTAAAATTAGATTTGATCTAAGCCAACTTTCATTTTCCTCTAGCTTTGCATGTTAAAGAAAGGTGGATTCATTCTCCTACAATGAGGTATTCCACCCAAAGTCAGTAGCAGGCAAAATTACCAACACGAGGCAGATGACATTTATCTTTGACATTTCCCCAATATCAGCTTCCTTGTTTTTACTCATCTTTGCCACATAAAATTCTTTGAGAAAGGATTTGACATTTATTCATTCTAAGAAGCTAATTAGCTACTCCATTCACAAAAGTATTGGCATTTTATCAGAGTCCACAATCCTCGCGTAAGAAGAAACAAATTCTAAGTGTGGAATCTAATAACAAGCAGACAGTGCAGGTGCCAACAGTGATGACAGGAGGCGTTCTTATTCACCAAATTCTTAAGCTGGCCCATAGTCTGACTTTCCTTACAAAGCAGCTCTTGACCCATGAAAAATAAAAATACAATAAATTTTCTGGTAATTTAAGATTATCTTACAGCTTACTGGTAGTTTGGTTACTTTTTATGTGTTTAAATTCAAGAGTTTTAGCTGTGTGCCATAATGATCTTGAGGGAAAACATCAAACCCCTACAGCAGCAGCTAACATCACTCAATCACAACAAATTAGAAGCTTTCTTGTTAAAAGATCAGGAAAAGACAAATTTCTCACTACTCCTTTCAACACCACACTGGAAATCCTAGTGAATGCAATAAGAAAAATAAATAAAAGGTATACAAATTGCATTCAAAAGAACTAACCTGCCTTTATTTGCATATGACATGACTATATATATATATATATATATAAAATCTGAAAGAAGAACCAAAAAAATATGACTAGAACTAATAGGAAAATTGCAGGGTACAGGGTTGACATATTGGGTTGACCACAAATTAGGCTAACCTAGTATAAAAACCTATTAGCCAACTTCTTTCTAATAAAACAATAATGAAATGCTTGAATAAAAAACCTTTTATATTATACCTACAGCACTATTTACATTCAGTTCAGTTCAGTCACTCAGTTGTGTCCAACTCTGTTTGACCCCATTGACTGCAGCACGCCAGGCTTCCCTGTCCATCACCAACTCCCGGAGCCTACTCAAACTCATGTCCATCGCATCGGTGATGTCATCCAACCATCTCATCCTCTGTCGTCCCCCTCTCCTTCCCCCTTCAATCTTTCGCATTAGGGTCTTTTCCAGTGAGTCAGTTCTTCGCATCAGGTGGCCAAAGTATTGGAGTCTCAGCTTTAGCATTAGTCCTTCCAATGAATATTCAAAGGGCTGATTTCCTTTAGGATGGACTGGCTGGATCTCCTTGCAGTCTAAGGGACTCTCAAGAGTCTTCTCCAACACCACAGTTCAAAAGCATCAATTCTTGGCACACCCCAAAAAAGAAGACAAATTTAGGTATAAATCTAATAAAATAGGTACAAGATCTATATGGAAAGAAAACTTTCAGACATGTTTAGGTATGAATTGATGGATATTTATATATAACTATCAGCTCAGTTCAGTTACTCAGTCGTGTCCAACTCCTTGTGACCCCATGGACTGCAACACGCCAGGCTTCCCTGTCCATCACCAATTCCTGGAGCTTGCTCAAACTCATGTACATCAATTGTGATGCCAACCAACCACCTTATCCTCTGTTGTCCCCTTCTCCTGCCTTCAATCTTTCCCAGCAGCAGGGTCTTTTCCAGTGAGTCAGTTCTTTGCACCAGGTGGCCAAAGTATTGGAGCGTCAGCATTAATCCTTCCAATGAATGTTCAGGACTGATTTCCTTTAGAATTGAATGGTCTGTTCTCCGAGTTTTCTCCAACACCTCAGTTTGAAAGCATCAATTCTTCAGCGTTCAGTCTTCTTTATGGTCCAGCTCTCACATCCATACATGACTACTGGAAAAACCATAGCTTTGGCTATATGGACCTTTGTCACCAAAGTAATGTCTCTACTTTTTAATATGCTGTCTAGGGTGGTCATAGCTTTTTGTCCAAGGAGCAAGAATCTTTCAATTTCATGGCTGCAGTCACGATCTGCAGTGATTTCGGAGCCCCGAAAAATAAAATCTGTCACTGTTTCCATCGTTTCCCCATCCTTTTGCCATGAAGTGATGGGACCGGATGCTTCAATGCTGAGTTTTAAGTCAGCTTTTTCATTCTCCTCCTTCACCTTCATTAAGAGGCTCTTCAGTTCCTCTTTGCTTTCTGTCATAAGGGTGGTGTCATCTGCGTATCTGAGGTTATTGATATTTCTCCCGGCAATCTTGCATCCAGCTTATGCTTCATCCAGCCTGGCATTTCGCATGATGTACTCTGCATACAAATTATATAAGCAGGGTGATAATATATAGCCTTGATGTACTCCTTGTCTAATTTTGAACCAGTCCGTTGTTCCATGTCCGATTCTAACTGGTGCTTCTTGACCTGCATACAGGTTTCCCTGGAGGCAGGTAAGGTGGTCTGGTATTCCCATCCCTTTAAGAATTTTCCAGTTTGTTGTGATCCACACAGTCAAAGGCTTTGGTGTAGTCAATAAAACAGAAGTAGGTGTTTTTCTGGAACATTCTTACTTTTTCGGTGATCCAAAGGATGTTGGCAATTTGATCTCTGATTCCTCTGCCTCTTCTAAATCCAGCTTGAACATCTGGAAGTTCACGGTTGACATACTGTTGAAACCTGGCTTGGAGAATTTTGAGCGTTACTTTGCTAGCGTGTGAGATGAATGTAATTGTGCAGTAGTTTGAACATTCTTTGGCACTGCCTTTCTTTGGAATTGGAATGAAAACTGACCTATCTTTTCCAGTTCTGTGGCCACTGCTGAGTTTTCCAAATTTGCTGGCATATTAAGTGCAGCACTTTCACAGCATCATCTTTTGAGGATGTGAAATACCTCAACTGGAATTCCATTACCTCCACTAGCTCTTTTTGTAGTGATGCTTCCTGTGGCCCACTTGGCTTCGGACTCTAGGATGTCTGGCGCTAGGTGAGTGATCATACCATCGTGGTTCTCTGGGTCATGAAGATCTTTTTTGTACAGTTCTTCTGTGTATTCTTGCCACCTCTTCTTAATATCTTCTGCTTCTGTTAGGTCCATACCATTTCTGTCCTTTATTGTGCCCATCTTTGCATGAAATGTTCTCTTGGTATCTCTAATTTTCTTCAAGAGATCTCTAGTCTTTCCCATTCTATTGTTTTCCTCTATTTCTTTGCACTGATCACTGAGGAAGGCTTTCTTATCTCTCCTTGCTATTCTTTGGAACTCTGCATTCAAATGGATATATCTTTCCTTTTCTTCTTTGCCTTTCACTTCTCTTCTTTTCTCAGCTATTTGTAAGACCTTGTCAGACAACCATTTTGCCTTTTTGCATTTCTTTTTCTTGGAGATGGTCTTAATCACTGCCTCCTGTACAATGTCACACAGGAACCTCCATCCACAGTTCTTCAGGCACTGTGTCTATCAGATCTAATCCCTTGAATCTATTTGTCACTTCCACTGTATAATCCTAAGGGATTTGATTTAGGTCATACCTGAGTAGTCTAGTGGTTTTCCCTTTTAGTGGTTTTCCCTACTAGTGGTTTTCCTTTCTTCAATTTAAGCCCATATATAACTATATGTAGTTTTATAACTCTTATAAAAGAAATCAAAGAAAAACTAAATAAAGAGATTCTCTGTTCATGTATAGGAAGACTCACTACTGTTAAGATTTCAACTACTCCCATCTTGAGCTATACATTCAGTGCTATCTTAATCAAAATCTCAGATCTTATTTTAAAGTTTTTTTGGAGAGGCAAAAGAAACTAGCTCAATGGAACTGAATAGAGAGCTCGAACAAATATAATCAATATATCCTTAAAGGAGCAAAGAAAATTCCATGGAAAAATTGCAGTCTTTTCAGCAAATGGTGCTAGAGCAACTAGCCATCCACATTTAAAAAAGAAGAAAATGGGGAGGGGGAAGACAAATTTAGCCTTACACACTTCACAAATATTAACTAAAAATGGATCACAGAATTAAATGTAAAATGGGAAATTATAAAGCTTGTGGAATATAACATAGGAGAAAATTTATGGCCTTGGGTTTGGTGGTGACATTTTAGATACAACATCAATGGTACATCAAAGAAACATTTGGTAAGCTGGATTTCATTGAAATTAAAAAGTCTGTTTTGGGAGATACTGTTAAAGAATGAAAAGGCAAGTCACAGATTGGGAGAAAGTATTTTCAACAGATGTATCTGAAAGGGGCTATTATCCTGAAGAAAACAAATAACCTAATTAAAAAAATGAAAAAGTAACACTTACTAAAGAAGAGGTACAGATGGCAGATAAGCCGTGTGAGAACATGCCCAACATCATACAATTAGGGAACTGCAAACTAAAACCAGCTATGAGATAGCACTACACACTTAATGGAATGGCTACAATCCAGAACACTGACAACATTAAATGCTGGTGCGGATGTGGAGTGAAAGCAACTCCACTCACTGCTGGTGAGAATGTAAAATGGTGCAGGCACTCTGGAAGGCCGTCTGCAATTTACTACAAACTAAGCATACTCTTCCCATAAGATCCCATCATACACTTTGCAATTTACCCAAAAGAGCTGAAAATTTAATGTACACACAAAACCACTTCCACATTATCAGCTTTAACTCCTAATTGTCAAAACTTGGAAGGAAGATGTCTTCACTAGGTGAATGAACAAATACACTGTGGTACATACAGACGATGGAATATTATTTAGTGCTAAGAAATAAGCTACTATGCCATGCAGATAACACAGAGAAACCTTAAGTGCAAATTACAAGTTAAATAAGCAAATATGAAAAAGCTACATGAGTGTGTGGTTCCAATTAAATGTTCTGGGGAAAGGCAAAACAAAAAGATCAGTGGTTGCCAGGAGTCTGTGGAGAGAAGGGCATGAAGAGGTGGAGCACAGGGCATTTTTAGGGCAGTGAACATTCAGTGAATACATTATTCAATACTGTAATGGTGGATTCAAGTCATATATTTCGCAAAACCAACAGAATGGATAAGCACTAAGGATATAAACTATGGACTCTGGGTGGTAATGATGTCAATGTTGATTCAGACTGTAACAAATTTAACGTTCTTGTGTGGGATTTTACTGGTAGGGGAAACTGTGCTATAATGAAGTATATACATAACTGGCCCTCTGAATCTGTGGGTTCCACATCCTTGGATTCAAACATCCTTGGATTGAAAATATGCAGGGAGGTTAAAAAAAAAAAACAAAAAACACGGAAGGTTCCAAAAAGCAGAATTCAAAGAATTTGCCCACTGGCAACTAGTTACATCACATTTACACTGTATAAGGTATTGTAAGTAATCTAGAGATGAAGAATATATGAGGATGTGTGCAGGTTATATGTTAAGTACTATGCTAGCTTATGTAAAGGACTGGAGCACATCCAGAGATTCTGGGGATTGAGGGAGGCGGGCAGGGCAAGTATCCTGGAACCAATTTTCCCACTAATGCTCACATCTAGCTATAACATTTTCTTAATCTCTGTAGATTTTATTCACTTTGAGATATGCAAAATTCAAAGTTTTATTCTAAGTTTTCCAGAATGCAAACTTACTAGTTGTACTGTGTGGTGGGTTCTATACTCATCTTCACTCCGAAGGCGTTGTTGGAATTTTTCATTGTGTTTTGCAATACAAATTTCCTAAAAATACATGAAATGTGTTTTTTAATACAAGTGAATAAATTAAATTTTAATCTTAACATATACCTGCACAATAAAATATCAAGTAAGCCACCTCTGGTTTCTCACCTGGAATACTGAAGCAGCATAAACCAGCATGAATTAGTACCTTAAAAAACTCGTTTATTAAACTACATAATTCCTGGTTTCTCCCTTTTTTGGAAGAGGAGGAATCGCCATGGGAGAGTGGAAGGGTACACAGGAATCTTAAAAGCCTCTTTCAAATCTGAAGATTTAGGCCAGAAGACTCCAAGTATTATTATGCTCTTTAAAACAGTCTGAACAAAAATGGATATATAACTCTTAAACTCTGTTTCTTAAGTGCTCTCTGGTGAATTAAAGAACATGATTTTGCCAGGATTGGTTTAAACACTATCATTAAATCTGAATCTTCTGGTCATAGGTAGATTTCAAAGATAAAAAGAGACCTTAAAGACAAGAAAGTATAATATAGATATGCTAATTCTAATCACATGAAAATATATTAAATAAGAGGTATGTGCTCTTTACAAAATAATGCACTATCCTCTCATCTGGCAGCTTTCCAGTAGTACCAGGCTGTCCTCATTTTCTCTGGGTCCTATAGAGATACAAGGGTTAACATCAATTTCCAACACTTTCAAATTATACCAAAAGATCACTCTTCTAACCTCATTAAGTCGTATATGAGTAGCCTTTCAAGCCGGGAAGCTGTATTTTAAAGCAACTGTTTTTATCACTTTCCTATCTTCACCCACACTGGGTTGACTCTGTTACCTAAAAAGTAATGATCATGAAATGAACCTCTCCAAAGCAATCCCACAAGGGAAAGTGGCATGACGTAGTGATACAAAGGCACAGGTTTCCAAATCACACAGACCTTGGATGCAATCCTATCTCTGACCCATTCTAGCCACTTTCCCTTGGGCAGACTTAGTTCCCTTGGTTATAAAAATGAGGATACAAGTCTATAATTCCTTATCTAGAACAGAGCTCAGGTGTGTTTCAAAATTATTTTTATTTTAGAAAGGTGAAATGTTGCATATGCCATCGTTTGCCCAATAACTCCAGCAGGATCCAAAGCAATACCTCATAGTAAGTATCACTAACATTTTTGCAGTAAAATAGTCACAGTAAATAGGATAAAGGAATGTTCAAGTATGAGAATGCTTTTTGGCTACTGGGAGAATTAAGATATAAAAGAACAATGTTGTTTCTATTTATTCTTCCTGAAAAGTTTAATCACAAGGGATAGACCTCATGTCCTCATGGGACAGTCAGAGATCATCTTTGTTCTTTCAAGAGGACTGGCAGGGTGTGATTTACTTGTAGCCAAAGAACTACCCCTGGGTGTGGAATTCTATCGTGGATGCCAGATTAACTGGGGAGACTGTGACCCTGGGAATGCTGAAATGCAGACAACAAGGGATGCAGGGTGCTGTTAGAGAGAGAGTCATCTTATCTGTCGAACAGTATGCATGGTTCTACAACAGTGTTTCTAATTCCTCTCTTGCCAGCCTTCTGTCACTCCTCCTTTGCCCTGCATTTCACCTCAGCTGTTGAACTTGGGAGTCTGGGGGCAGGGAAAGGGGAGGGCAGGGGACAAGATCATTTGTAGAGCCCTGACTATATGGTGCAATCGCTCACAGGAGATCAGAGACAAAGTTTAAATGTGCAGAATCTATACGGCTAAGTTTCCCTACCTCAAATTTAGTTTAATATAAGAATGAAGAGTGAAAACTATAAATTAAATCAGTTAAATTAAATTAAACTGAACTTTTATCAGTTCAGTTCAGTCACTCAAGTTGTGTCCGACTCTTTGAGACCCCATGGACTGCAGTATGCTATGCTTCCCTGTCCATCACCAACTCCTGGAGGTTACTCAAACTCATGTCCATTGAATCGGTGATGCCATCCAAGCATCTCATCCTCTGTTGTCCCCTTCTCCTCCTGCCTTCAATCCTTCCCAGCATCAGGGTCTTTTCAGATGAGTCAGTTCTTCACATCAGGTGGCCAAAGTACCGGAGTTTCAGCTTCAGCATCAGTCCTTCCAATGAATATTCAGGACTGATTTCCTTTAGGATGGACTGGTTGGATCTCCTTGCAGTCCAAGGGACTCTCAAGAATCTTCTCCAACACCACAGCTCATCAATCCTTTGGTGCTCAGCTTTCTTTATACACTCACATCCATACATGACTATCGGAAAAACCATAGCTTTGACTAGACAGACTTTGTTGGCAAAGTAATATCTCTGCTTTTTAATATGCTGTCTAAGTTGGTCATAGCTTTTCTTCCAAAGAGCAAGCATGTTTTAATTTCATGGCTGCAGTCACCATCTGCAGTGATTTTGGAGCCCCTCAAAATAAAGTCTCTCACTGTTTCCATTATTTCCCCATCTATTTGCCATGAAGTGATGGGACCAGATGCCATGATATTAGTTTTCTGACTGAGTTTTAAGCCAACTTTTTCACTCTCCTCTTTCACTCTCATCAAAAGGCTCTTTAGTTCTTCGCTTTCTGCCATAAGGGTGGTGTCATCTGCATATCTGAGGTTATTGATATTCTTCTGGCAATCTTGATTCCAGCTTGTGCTTCATCCAGTGTGGCATTTCGAATGATGTACTCTGCATATAAGTTAAATAAGCAGGGTGACAATATACAGCCTTGATGTACTCCCTTCTCAATTTGGAACCAATCTGTTGTTCCGTGTCCAGTTCTAACTGTTGCTTCTTGACCTGCATACAGGTTTCTCAGGAGGCAGGTAAGGTGGTCCGGTATTCCCATCTCTTGAAGAATTTCCCACAGTTTGTTGTGATCCACACAGTCAAAGGCTTTGGCATAGTCAATAAAGCAGATGTTTTTCTGGAACTCCCTTGCTTTTATGATGATCCAACAGATGTTGGCAATTTGATCTCTGGTTCCTCTGCTTTTTCTAAATCCAGCTTGAACATCTAGAAGTTCACAGTTCACGTACTGTTGAAGCCTGGCTTGGAGAATTTTGAGTATTACTTTGCTAGTGTGTAGGATGAGTGCAATTGTGTGGTAGTCTGAACATTCTTTGGCATTGCCTTTCTTTGGAACTGGAATGAAAACTGACCTTTTCCAGTTCTGTGGCCACTGCTGAGTTTTCCAAATTTGCTGGCATATTGAGTGCAGCACTTTCACAGCATCATCTTTGAGGATTTGATAGCTCAACTGGAATTCCATCACCTCCACTAGCTTTGTTCGTAATGATGCTTCCTAAGGCCCACTTGACTTCGCATTCCAGGATGTCTGGCTCTAGGTGAGTGATCACACCATCGTGATTATTTGGGTCATGAAGGTCTTTTTTGTACAATTATTCTGTGTACTCCTGCCACCTCTTCTTAACGTCTTCTGCTTCTGTTAGGTCCATACCATTTCTGTTCATTACTGTGCCCATCTTTGCATGAAATGTTCCCTTGTATCTCTAATTTTGGTGAAGAGATCTCTAGTCTTTCCCATTCTGTTGTTTTCCTCTATTTCTTTGCATTGAGCACAGAGAAAGGCTTTCTTATCTCTCCTTGCTATTCTTTTCTCAGCTATTTGTAAGGCCTCCTCAGACAACTATTTTGCCTTTTTGAATTTCTTGTATACGTAAATAAAAATTTCCTTGAAGAGTGAGGTTAGAACCAGTCAACTTAATTATAGAGCACCCCTGACCTCCTTAAATAAAAAGGAGCCAGGATTTGCATCACATAGAGTCCTGTAGTCATGCCCAAGCAGAATTCACCTCTGGGTGGCTGAGGCAAACAGCACATCACCACTGGCTGTTCTAACAAGTTTAAGAGGGTAATTCTCTGACAACCATATGTCAATATAATGGCTCAAGTATTGAGAAGACATTATTCTTACTTAGTTTTAAAAGGTATGCAAAAGCATTAGTGACAAATCAGGTTAGAATTATTAGATAGGGGTCAAGGATTAAGCAATGAATAAAAGCAAGATGTAAATTAAGGTTACAGCCAAGCAATTATACCTTTTTATTTCTGAGGTATGCTTTCTTGGCCGAAACCCGTCCACGTCTTGCCTCCAGCTGGCGTGCTTTCTGCTGAAGTTTCTGTAGTTCTTCTCTCTGAAAATGCACAGACGCTGCCATCTCTTCCTTCTCCAGCATGGCCTCCATGCTTTCATAAGTGTCATAGTATACCACTTCATCTCTCTTTTCTGTCACAAAACAGCAACAAGGGGCAATGGTTAAGAGCATGGGCTATGGAGCCGGACAGACTCTTCTCCACTCACTAATTCTGTAACCTCAAGCAACGCTATTACCTCTTGAATTTCTCTGTAAAATTGTGATTATTAGGAAATACACCTCAGAGGGAGGATGTGTGTGCCAGTATCTGTAACAGAGTTAAGTGTTCAATGTAAAAAGCTATGAACTTTGTCTCCCAAATTAAAAATTTGAGAGTACAGTGAGAGTACAGATTCTGGCTGAAGCAACAAAGCAAGTTAGAAAGTACTTTACAAAGGTAAGATCATAGTTGAACTGCTACATCTACTAAATCACTTGTTTGACTTTAAGTTTTTTTAGCCTCAACAGAAGAAATAAAGTAGTATCCATGTACATTTTTCCTATCCAAGCAAACAACTACATGGGGAAATTCCATCATTCATTCAAAAGTATTTTGTGGATCTGTGTTGTTAGATATACGTCATACCTGATATAAGTCTTTTGATGCTTTCCAGTTGTGCTGTCAACAGTAACTCTTCACACTTCAAGATTTCAAACTGCACTTCATACAACTGAAGTTGCAGATCATAATAATCAGCTTCTAACTGATCCAATCGAGCTATGGCTTCTGTACCACCCTGTAGACTCTGCATCTGCATTGAAAATAAAAATAAGGACAAATCTAGTTGGAGAGAACAAGAAATCAAGTTAGTTTGGAAGTGTATTCTAACTGATCAGACAGGGTGAATCCATGAAGCAACTGAACACTGGCAGACAATCTGGGGTCAAAGGCTCAGGTACAGATGATTTAAGAACCTACTAAATTTGTGTACAAAGCTGTGTGTACATGTATTTTTTTGAGTGTTTCTAGATTTCAGATTTACAAACAGAAGAGTCTATGACCTAAAAAGAGTGAGAAAGATTATAATCAAGACTCAGTTAAAAGGGAGATAAATTAAAAAGAATATTACTTAAAGTGTAGTTAAAATTTTAATCAAATAGGATTTTGCTTCCCTGGGTGATATTTAATATTTCAATGTTAATTTAAAAGTTATTCGAAGTTCAGCATTGTATCATGTAATGTACCACTGTCACATCTGGAAGAAGTCTTTGTTTTTAAAATAACCTAAGGAGATGCAACATATCAACATTTTTTAAAACATCTCCTCATAATTTATCAGGGCTTCTCTGATAGCTCAGTTGGTAAAGAATCAGTCTGCAGTGGAGGAGACCCTGGTTTGATTCCTGGGTTGGGAAGATCTACTAGAGAAGGGATAGGCTAACCATTCCAGTATTCTTAGGCTGGTAAAGAATCTGCCTGCAATGTGGAAGACTTGGGTTTGATCCCTGGGTTGGGAAGATCCCCTGGAGAAGCTACAGTCTACCCACTCCAGTATTCTGGCCTGAATTCCATGGACTGTATTAAGTCCATGGGGTCGCAAAGAGTAGGACATGACTGAGCGACTTTCACTTTCATAATTTAAACCACAGGGTAGGACTGTAAAGCAAGGGATTTGTTTGGGATGGGTTTAATAAATCACATTTGGTCTCTGTCTCATGAGTCATGTGGTTGTGTTAAATTAACACTAATAAAACTGTGCAGTCATCATCACAGATGTATATAAAAATCACAATGCATACATTATATCACTCAACAAGCATAAACCTGGCAAGAATGACGGACAGTTTTACCAAATCCTTTGAAGAACTCAAACATAATCCAGAACATTCAAAACAGACTATTATGGTTCTGGGATGACCCCAGGGAAAATGACCCCACTGATAAATGCCAAACTCCCTGGCCCATTTCAGCCTCGCCCTTCCTCTACCACAAGAGACCAATTCTAGTAAGAAATGTTCTTGCAATAGCAAACAGTTATAAACCTAGCTCTTTTAGACACCCTATGTTGTTAGTACTATTCATCCTGGTTAGAATAAAGCTAGTCACTGTGATGAAGAGTAGCACTCTATTTCAGAGTCAATAAAATGCTAGTATTTCAAGTTTTAAAGTTCTAGAACTTAAGAAATATCTAGAAACATAAAGGAGAAAGCTAACTAGCAAAGGTTAGAGTGGCAATGCCTCAGATGAAGAAGAGATGGAGCTAAAATCTGTAAGAGATTCTGAATAGTGTGAAAAAGTTCAGAACAAGTTCTAACTTTTCCTTTAACAACAGTAGCAAATAAGAAGAGGGAAAAATAAATCCATTAACAAAAGATCTTTCTAGATCAGGGCCATAATATATTATAGATTACCTCATACAGTCTTTTTAAAACAAGAGTTAGACATGCATATGCACACTCATAAAGCAATGTGTTTTACATAAAGCTATATTAATAAAAGCAGTGATGACATTTTGTTCTTTAGAGTAGAATGTACAACTTTCACAGATACGTATCAGAAGCCAATCCAGTCAAGCCACGGAATGGGAACAAATACTTACAAATCATATATTTGATAAAAGACTTGTATCTGGACTATGTAAAGAACTTAGGAAGCTCCCTAGCTTTCCAGTAGATCCACAGGCCATGAAAAAAAAAGTTAAATGGGCAACTGATCTGGATTGAAATTTCTCCAAAGACGACGTATAAGTGGCCTAGCACACAGAAAGATACTAGACATAAATGCATCAAAGAAACGCAAATCAAAACCCCAAGACACCACTTCACACCCACCAGGATGGCTAAACGAAAAAGACAGTATTAGTGATCATGTAAAGAAAGATGTGGAGAAATTCTATCCTTTTGTACACTGCTGGTGAGGATGAAAATGGTACAGCTGTTTGGAAAACAGTCTGGCAGTTCCTCAAAAGGTTAAACAGCATTTCACACCAAGATAAAGGAAAACCTTGTATAAAAATGTTCGTAACAGCTTTATTCATAAAGCTGTAAAAACAGAAAGAACCCAAAAGCTCATCGACTGATAAATGCACAGTGTGGTGTAACCATGCAGTGGGGTCTCACTTGAAAAAGAAGTAGACTGGGCAATGAAGCACACCACAGCACGGATAGACTGAAAAATATTACATCATGTGGGGCGAAAAGCATGAAAAAATCACGTCTTATGATTTCATTTACAGAAAATGTCCAGAATAGCAAATCTAAAGAGAGAAAATAGTTGCCAAGGTGTGGTGAGAGTTGAAGGGGAGATAGGAAATGAGTGCCCCTTTTTCTTTTAACAATTGTTAACAACTGCTGCCTACAGTCACGCTGGGATGCTGTGAAAATATGATAACTCGAATTCTATCATAGGCCCCATTGTGAAAGTTATCATCACCTCATGAAGATAGTGCTGCCCGGAGGGTCAGAGAAATTTAAGTCTTGTACCAAATATAGCACATCTTAATTAAAAATAATTTTTTATATATTTTTCTCATGGCTTTTGTTACCTCTTCTTTTAGAGCATGTTTCTTCTGTTCCAAACAGATCTCCTTAGCTCTCATCATCTGCAAAGTCTCCTTAGAAACTGCATACTGAAGTTTTTCCATACGTTCAGCGGCTGCTGCCCATGACGCTTTACCAAATTTCTTCTGATCTGCTCGCATTCGATCATACACAGCTATTGATAATTTAAAAAGGACATTAAGACATGAAACAACTTGATACTAAAGAATTTGGAAGTCTTAAGATTGCAATGATCACCCACTCAAAGATAAGCACACAAATCCTACCCTCATGATAAATTACCTGTACCAGTTCATGACAGATTACCTATAACATGATAAAATATCTATAAACTATATAAATCAATACTATCTTAGATTCTCTCTAAGTCTCCAATAAGAATTTTAAATAATCTTCCTGAGAAATAACTCTCTGAAGATGAAACATACTTTTCAGGTTAACTTTACAACTTACTTAAAAATATTCTTTTCACATTTTCCAGTATTATTAAATTTCAAAGTTTCTATAAAACTTTATTCTGTGAAGGTTCATATCTTTTCTGAGGTATGTTATTTGAAATCAGAACCATAACTATTAAAGGTTATTTAAAAATTATTTAAATCCATGTACTTTTTGCCTTCTCCAAAAGTATTTTAATGATATGATATACAGTGAAATAAGTGTCTAGACATTATCATGAAGTTTATGCTGCTAAGGTTACTGCTGGAGTTCAGTTAAGCCCCAAGGAAGACACCCAACTTCTGGCCACCACACAAAAAAGGAAAAACTTCCAGTTTGCCACAACAGAGGCCTCATCCAGGAAACATTTCTTGACAATCAAACAGATAATATCTTCTAGTTAAATAAGTTTTAACTGATACCAGTTAACTGTTTGGTGCTGACTCATCTTGGGTCCTTATACAATGAATCCAACCATTCTATGTCCCTTCTGCTTAACAGGTCAGAAACATGCTTTAATTATCATAAAAGAGGCAGGCAATCTTATTATGAAGTATCTAATATAGTCTTTAGGTCAATATACATTCTCTAGTAGCTTCTTATGTTCAGAGGTTAAGTGATTAATACTTTTGTATTGCAACTACATCATAACTCTCTTTGCAAAAAGTGTCTCAGTAACATCTGCCTCAGAATTTCATGAAATTTAAAAATATTTTTACAATACTACTAGAACATACTTAAAAATTAAAATTGTACAGAGAAGCTGAAAGTGGAAAAGAACAATTTCTCGGGCTCCACTCCCTCCCTCCACCCTTAGTCCCAATGACCAAATGCAACCAACTTGGAACCTGCTCTTGGTAATTACCTGCATTCAAGAACATTACTATTTCTTGATTTAGTCTTAAAAATCTATTGAGTTCTTATGACAAATGAGCAATCTACTTACTCAGAATTGTCTCTCAATACAGTTCTTTTGGTTTCTCTGTTTTTCTGTGGCCTTTAAATGCTAACATATTTGAACATTGATCTGATCCTTAATTTTAGGGTTTAACAAATAACATCTACTTATGTTGCCTACATATCAAATGATTCTGCCATTTTAAATCTCTGCCTATCCCTTCAAAAAATGTATGACAATATTTATGCAACTGTAGTATCAATATAGCAGTGTTCTGTAGGGTAAAAAACATCAGCAGGAGGTTAGGAGACAGCTTGGAGTTACATTCCCACTTGTACCCATCAACATGTAACTTAAGGCATAAACTTAACTGTTCTTGGGCTAAATTCCCTTGAATGATAAATGTTAAGGAAATACAGTACCTCCTTGGAAGACTTGTGGAAATTAAATGAGAGGATAATATATATTCAAGTGTTTTTCTCAGTTTACATAACAATATTAACCAAATACATGATCTGTTTTGTTTCTTCTCTCCCTCATGCACTCACAACCACAATCACTCATAATAACACAATGCTATGTTAATTTCAAAGTACTTTTTCCATGTATTCTATTTATCTGCCTAGCAATCCTATAGAATAGGCATGGCGGCATTATCAACACCTTCAACACAGATATGTGAAACTGAGGAGTTTTGGTGGCTTTAAATCAAGGAAAGTTAAACTAGTTGCTTAAATACCTAGTCTGCAACTTCCCTCATTTTCACCTGAATCTATAATCACAGGAGAAGGCAATGGCAACCCACTCCAGTACTCTTGCCTGGAAAATCCCATGGACGGAGGAGCCTGGTAGGCTGCAGTCCATAGGGTCGCAAAGAGTCAGACATGACTGAGCGACTTCACTTTCACTTTTCACTTTCCTGCATTGGAGGGGGAAACGACAACCCACTTCAGTGTTCTTGCCTAGAGAATCCCAGGGACAGCGGAGCCTGGTAGGCTGCTGTCTATGGGGTCGCACAGAGTTGAATACGACTGAAGCGACTTAGCAGCAGCAGCAGCATAATCACAACTTAATAAAGCCAAACATTCTCTAAAAGCAAGAGAGTCTGGAGCCTTTTCTCTCGCTTTCCACTTAAGGACTATGTATATAGAGCAGTTCCTGTCCTAATTCAGTCTCATGTTGTTACCTAGTATAAGAGCTAGTCAATACTTTGTCTATCAACATATTTTGACAGAATGTATTCTTTCACCTAACTGCTGCTCACTTCACTGGAAATTATTTTCTAACAGTTCAGGAATATGAAGGTAATACAGAAAATTACGAATATAGAATGCTCTATATGAATATGAATAATTCAAACTGCTTCTCAGAGAGTGGTGGAAAGATTTCTGTGGCCTCCTATGGAAGGGAGTTGGAAGAAATGTACCTGGACAGACAGACCTTGTCTGTATCTCTTCATCTGGCTTATTTCCATGTTTCTTAAAGAAGCTTCCTGGTTTGTTTCTGGCTGTGCTGACCGTCACCGCCGTGCAGGCTTTCCTCCAGGTGCAGGAGCGGGGGCTGCTCTCCTGTTGTGGTCACTGGAGCCGCACTCACGGAGGCGGCTTCCCTGACTGCAGAGCACGGGCTCTCGGGCTGGCGGCCCTCAGCGGCTGCAGCTCCCGGGCTCAAGAGCTCAGGCTTGCAGTCGTGGCACATGGGGCTAGCTGCTCTGTGGTGTGCGGGATCCCCAAAAATCAGGGATAGAACCTGTGTCCCCTGCACTGGCAGGCGGACACTCTACACTGAGTCATAGGGAAACCCTTGATTTCTATCTTTTATAAATTGTAATGGGAACTATGTTTTCCTGAGTTCCGTGAGTCACTGTAGTGAATTTTTCGAACTTAAAAGGGCTGTAGCAAAACCGCTAAATTTGTAGCCTACTGTTTACAAATACAGATGGCCTGTGGACACCCCAAATTTGCAAGTAGTGTCTAAAGGGAAGGCAGTCTTCTTGGGAATTTTGCCTTTAAGCTGTGAGCTCTGTAACTTCAAACATTTATTGTCAGAATTGAAATCTGCTACATGATACCCATTATTTTTAATTATTTTAAAGGTGAGTATATGTTAACACATAATGCCTAGAAAAAGACTGAAAGGATATACCTTAACTTGTTAATAGTGGTCTTCTTTAACTTCTAGGACTGAATGGTCTTTATATACTTTTCTATAACTATTGTGAACACAAAATACTTAAACCACTCATTAAGGAAAAAAACAAACCTCCACTCACTTTTAAAAATACCTAACAAGGATAACTTTACTGGGAAACTCACCTTTTTGAGCTTTAGCTGTTATTTCAAAGTATTTGACGGTAAGATCTTGAATGGACAGCACGGCCATGTGGGCTTTCCGCTGCCAGTCAGCATCCTCTTTCTGTAGACTTTCAATTCTTCGGGGGCCCAGGTAGTCATTTTCCATAGAAATCTTTAGAGAGAAAAAAGAAAAACTGAAAAAATCATTTCTTCCTCTTACTCATTCCTTAAACATCTACTGAACGTGTGTGTGTCAGGCACTCTCGGTACTAAAAGAATAATTGCTTTTCTCTGCTCTTGAGGAAGTGCTATCAATTTACAAAACAATTAAATTAACAATAATGTTGAAAACAGTTAGTTAGAAACTTGTTTCCCTTTTCTTCCTCTATTGGATTCTTCATCCTTTTCTCTTCTATATATATATAAATGAAGAACACAGAACAAAATGTTTGATTATTTTGGGGTGCTGAAAAATTTTTATTTCCTCCTTTATGATAATTACATTTTTAGGTTAAGAATTATTTGTGCCAATAAAGTGCTTATTTAATCATCAACATAAATAAATAAGGTTGAGAGTATATAAAAAATAAGCCTATCTGCCTACTGAAGGACTCTGGAATAAGTAACAGAGAAAAGCTGGCTATGTATTATTTATAAGAGCCACAGCTAAAATGAAAGGACAAAGGAAAAGTTGAAAATCAGATAATAGACCGAGATAGTGCCAGGTGCATGTCACAGAAGTAACAATATTAACATCAAAGTACACAAAAGCACTACACAGGTGTGTTAATATAGAATAAAGGTACAGTTCAGGAAAAATAGCCACAGACCCTTTGTGTACTCTGTAGTGTTTTACCACATACCAAGAAAGAGATTAAAAATTAAGCAGTTAAGTTAGTAACACCAATATCAGGATGATGGGGAAAAACTTTATAGTGAAAAATGTTAGCCCATCCCTGGCACGCTTAAAAAAAAAAAAAACAACTGATCGAGTAAGCAGATTTCTAAAGAAGAAATACTGAAGGCCATACTCTTTAAACAGTACAACTAAAGGAAGAGAAGTCAGAAGATGTGGTTTAGCCTCGAAGCAACAATATACTGCTCTTCAAAGAAACAGTCTTCCAAATAAGAGGGAAAAAATGATTCCAGGGCTACTGAGAAAAAACATGTACATGGAACGCCAAGAATTTCATTTTGTATATGTTAAGTTTAACTCTGCAGGTCATGTCCAGAAATATAAGCTTGGGCACCCTTGACACCTGGGCTTGCTAGGTGGTGCCAGTGGTAAAATACCCACCTGCCAATGCAGGAGACATATGAACTGTGGGTTCGATCTCTGGGTGGGGAAGATCCCCTGGAGGAGGGCATGGCAACCCACTCCAGTGTTCTCACCTGAGAATCCCACGGAAAGCGGAGCCTGAGGGCTACAGTCCATGGGGTTGCAAAGAGTCGGACATGACTGAAGCAACCTAGCATACACACACCCCTGACACAGTAGAAGACATTTAAAGCACTGAGAGTGAATCATTTCATGTAAGGAATCACAATCACATAAGCAGGAAGAGTCAATGGAGGAGAAATCAACTCCATCAAGCACTGCTTAGGGGGTCAAGCAGATACAACACCAGTATTCACGGACCTAACAGCATGAACTTGGCAACAACAGTTCTGGAGTACTGGCAGATTCCTTCTGCCTATTAATTCCCACCATATCTTCAGATCTCAGCTCAATTACTTCATGGATATCTTCCCCGACTCAATGTTATAGCTGGTATAAGCTCTTCAGTGTAATAAATACCTTTCCTTCTTACCTCTTATCACACTCATATTTTATTTTATATCACCTGCTTCCCACTCTGAATGTTCCGTGAGGGCAAAGAATGCACAGTATCTCTGCTTGCTTGCTCTTCACTAGCACACTGCCTGGCATGAACTAGGTAATCTAAAATATTTCCTGAAATAGTGAATAAAAATCCACTTCCCTACATGTTTTTAAGGAGGACAGAGATACAGAAACATGTGTAAGTACTCTCTTTACAGAAATCTGTGTAAGTGAATAGGAGATGAGAATAAGGCTTATGAAGGGTAGGCACTATGCTTTATTTTAATGGCAGGTCATAGAGCAGGTTGAGAGGGAGAACCTATGCTTTCTCCTGTGAAGAAAGAACCCAGGTATGAAAAGAAACAGATACATGTTCTTTCTCTGAGAAAGAACAGATATATGTATCGTGTACAACGGAACCCCTCTGCTGTACACCTGAGAGTTAACACAACTTTGTGAATCAACTACACTCCAATATAAAATAAAGAGTAAAAAAGAAAGAACCCAGTTAAAAATAAATTGGTAGAGAAGAGGGGAGGAAGAGGACACAAAACAGCTGTTTTTAGATGAAAAGAAAGTGGAATCGCTCAGTCCTGTCCAACTCTTTGCAACCCCACGGACTGTGGCCCACCAGGCTCCTCTGTCCATGGGATTTTCCAGGCAAGAACACTGGAGTGGGCTGCCATTTCCTTCTCCAGGGGATCTTCCCAACCCAGGGATCGAACCTGGGCCTCCTGCATTGCAGACAGGAGCTTTACCATCTGAGCCACCAGGGAAGCCCCTAAAAAAAGTCTCTCTGACCCCAATGTGACATGAACACACAACCTTCTGATTGTTTTTAGTTTGTTTTTAGATGGCAGGGTGACAAACCATTTAGAAAAATTACTAAGCAAATTTATTAAGCAAAAATTAAAAACAAGACCAACTAGGGTTAGTGAGGTCACGGTGAGACAAGACACACATAATATACTGCTGATGGAACTATAAATTGATTAAAACCTTTTCTGAAAAGTAACTTATGATACCATAATCTTGGAACACATTTAGCTGTTTAAATCAGGACAAACAAACTTTACTGAAGTCCATGAATTGCAGAGGGATTTGAAGGAGGGGTAGGATTTTGACAGTTACATGGGGAGCATATGGGAAAAGAGAATCACCCAAAATGCATGCTGAGCAAAGCCTTGAAGCAAGTTAAGTTCAATGTATGGTAAAGGCCAGAGAGCAGTCCAGCCTACCTGGAGTCTAGGTAAAACAGATGAAGGCAGAGGAAGATAAGACTAGACAAGCAGGCTATGATCACCATGAGGAGGCTGTGGAGCTTATTCTGCACACGACAAGCAACTGGAAACCACTGTGGCATTCTCAGCAGTACATGGCATATTTAGACTTGTTTGCTTTTAAGATTCTAGAAAACTTGTTTTCTGTAATAAAACCATCAAGGTTTTGTGCTTTTATTTGTTGCAATTTTAAAAAGCTAAAAAGCAAAAGATTCACAAATATGAAAAAAAGGTTTACTAAATTGATCACTGCAGCAAAATTTAAATTCTTTTCAGCACGTTATGACACAAGTCCCTTTCAATGACATGACTAAACTCCATCTGTTTATTATACCTAAGACTGTAATTTAGGTTAGCCACAGATTTTCCTTGACTTTGAAAGTCAAAATGTATTTAGACTCTATCACCTCCAAGTTCAACCTTTTGCCTTGTGATGCTAGGATTTGGGCTCTGAAAACCACATTTAGCCTTTGCCAAGAAGAAGGGCTGGAGGAGATTTCAGAGTTGAAGGAAAGAGGCACCTTGCATCTTCCTATCTGTGTCACTTGATTTTTCCTGTTTGCTGTTCCTGTGATCATCATTCCAGTCTAGCTTTTTAATCCCAGCATCCAGTACCTTCTTCAAGAAGTTAACAAAAACAAGTCTGCAGTTTTTTAAATCTCTGCAGAACTGGCCTCATTGTGTGTGCCCAAGACAAAGCAGCACCAGTCCATCAGTGCTTTATCCCCAGGGATCTGGTTCTCTCCACTGCCATCAGTCACATTGGCACAAAGAGCAGTGTCTTCTTCCTCAGAGGTCAGCTTCATAGGGCCTAGCCTTCCACCTTTTCCCTCTGTAACCCCCAATCCTAGGAGTGGTGGCCATTTCTCTGGTACCTCTGGTACCTGAGAGCTGCCTTATGGTTCTCTGTTGAAATAACTGGTTTGATCTTCTAGTCAGATCCCAACAAACACAACTATGGAACAGAAAATGTAATAAACAGAACGAGCAGTGCTCATAATTCAAAAATCTTAACTCAGATCATGAAGACAGAAACTTTCACTTGCATAGTTAAACACTGTACAGAAATGAGAAATAAAAAAAATAGAAAAAATCTGGTATTTGGTGATAACCTGTACTTTGTTGCTAGATTATCTTTACCTTCATCGCACATATATACCCAAATACACAGAAGAGAAACATGCCATGTTTTTAAATGCTGTTTTTTCAACTGATTCTAAAACTCAGTAGCTAACGCTACAGCCTACTGTTTAAGAATGTGATTATGGTTTATTGTACCGAAGATGTTAAGCTAGGATACTGAGTCCCTTCCCTGACTTGGCGCATCTGAAGAGGCACAGCACTGGTCAGCTGGGTCGTGTGCTGAAAACAGTGGCTCCTCTGTTGGCAATTCCAGGGCCAGAAAGAAAACAGTGTCTGTTTTTAACATGGAAAAAAGTATGTGTCAGTTTAGGTAGCTAGGATAGTGAGACTAGTTTATAAACAGATTTCTTGGCAAGGAATTACTTATTATAAAGTACATCACTAGCTTGGATCCTGGGTTTTATGTGAGACGCTTAAGTATTTTCTATTGTTGAGACAGTAATTTTTTTAAAAAGCACTCTGATTCTTGGGTAAAACAAATGCAAAGATAAACTTGTGAATATACTGATGTAGTGGTGATCTTAATGTGAATTTTCCAGGCCCAGGAGTTATATGACTCCTGATTAACAGGCTGATATAATTAGATTCGGCATCATGTATTTCATGCATTTTTACATTCAAAGTAAATGTTAAATGTAATATCCTCAGGAAAGAGTATGAAATGATGCATTTTTGAAGGTAAAAGGCATCTAAAGATAAGGAAATCAATAAATAGTTCAGGTGAGAGACAAGTATCTTAATGTACAGTGGTAAGCACTATATGCATAGTGCATACATATAATGTATTAGTGGGGCTTCCCAGGTGGCCCAGTGGTAAGGAACCCTCCTGATAAGCAGGAGATGTAGATTCGATACCTAGGTTGGGAAGATACCCTGGAGAAGAAATGGCAACCAACTCCAGTATTCTTGCCTGAGAATCCCATGGAC